CCGCCGCATATTCACTATGCTGACGACGAGTGGTGAGCACACGCACGAGGGCCGGTATTCGAGCACACGTGAGGCTGGGGGTACACTTTGGCGGCGGTGCGAAGCTGGTCACGCGCAAACACATTTTGAAGGCTCGTGCGGGAGAGCACCTGGGTGCAGCCGCTGGTTCAAGGGAATCGCTGCGCCCTTTCTTTGATGCCTCAACCCCCTGTGCAGTTGGCCGCGTGTGCCCTGCCACGCAACCCGCTTGCCCGTGCCTCCCCTGCAGACATCCTCCGCCCACGCCCCAACGATAGCTCCCCCCACCCGCCTTATGCGCATCACACCGATCCGCAGGTTCTTCCTCGCCGGGACCGGCACCGTGCGCATGTACACGCACCAGAAGGCCACCACCTTCGTCCCCGGCTTCCTGCCGGGCTTCAACACGCCCCCCGTCCTGGCCGGCTCGGCGGTGCTGCAGAACGACACGCTGCAGGCACTCTACTCCCCCCGCGGCTCGGTGCACTGGTTCAACAGAGAGACCGAGACGACCGACTTTTACGCCGTCCACGCCAGCGGCCACGCGATGGAGCTCATCATAGACGCGTTCAACACCATGACAGACCCAAAGGAGCTCCTCTCCTACACTGGCCTCTACGGCGCGCCCCACGACCTCACAGGCAGATTCGTCGGCCTCGACAAGTGCGGGGACAAGTGCTACCGCAGCGCGCGCGGGCCCGTGGACGTGCCCAGCGTCGTGCCGAGCCTGAGGAAGCTGCAGAAGCTGTTCGACCTCGCAGAGAAGAAGAAGTGCTGGACCCCCTGATACGTACTGTCGGCGCGGCGGCGGGGCGGCTCGCACTTGCTGCCGCTGGCGCGCGCTGCGCTGGTGCTTCATGTATTGAGTCGGCTGACGCTGAGCGGCTGCTTGGCAGCTTTGGCTTGGGGGCTTTGTCGGCTTGAGGTTGAACTTCCTGCGGGAAAACTTGCTGCAAGATTTTATTCTGTCTCAGACGCTGACAGGCTGTCAGCGGGTGCCACCGACTGCAACTTTGCTGCCAGGCTGCCGGCTCAGCCGAAGGCGCAGCTTCCTACTTTCTTTCTCACCTTGCCACCTCACCACGGTCGGTCGGATGCTTAGGTCCATCCTTCACACACTTGAGTGCCTCAACACGCGCGCCGCTATCCAAGATGTGTTGGGTTAAACTACACTTACATTTAAACGCAGTCACAAACTCAACCTGCATCGGCCAAACCCGGTCTATCAGCAAGTCCGAGTATTGCACACCCTGCGTTGCCTTTGTAATACTTTGTGCAAAGCAAGTGTTACCACATCGCTCACTCATAGTGACAGCTTCTGGGGCCAGCCTGGTTGAAAGAGTCCAGGGTTTGCCCATGGCGCACGAAGCGGCCACTGGCAGGGCCCCTCACCGACTGTGTGACATAACCTGGCGCAGCACAGAGAGGGTGCGGCGCTCTCACACCCGCATCGCACTCTAACATGTTGATTCTCTGTACGAATGGGCTCGCTTGTCGCATGAATGGGCTGAGGTACCTGCCACATGCACAACGAAATGTGTAAGAATTTGATGCTGCAGGCTCGGCTGCCAGCACAACACCCCACCTACCTGCCCTCCAGCAGACACTTGGCTGTTTCACATGAGAGCCTCTAGGCCGTCTAGTCAAGGACGCGCAACCTCGTGCTTTCAACGAAAGAGACAACTGCGGTTCGGCAAGGCCGACGGCGAGTGACGCTTATCGGTACACGCAGAGGGTTGTGCGGCTGCCACAGCTGGATGCGAGTAAGGTAGAAGGGAGACGGCAGCCCCTGCCCTGCTGGGTGCAGACACGACCCGCTGCACTGCTCCAAGGGCCCCTTAGAAGCATGAAAGTGCTCTCATGTACGGAGCTTGCCTGAAGGGGGCGTCTGAGGCGAACTGGCGTTCAACAGGGCGGTCGGCCAAACTTGACGACTGCAGCGGCTCTCGACACCACCTTGTACCGTAGGCTGGGATGGTCGTCAGGCTTGTGGGAAGTTGATGCGAATACAAGTTTCATATTATTTAGGGCGCAGATTTCTCTCATTGGTTGCTGTGGAGAACACGCCAGGCAGCTGGTACTGTAAATATTTGCGATCCAAGGGGTACGACTGTGCACAGCAGACATATACACAGACATATGATTTTTCTTTGTATTCGGGCGCGTCGACTGACGTGAAGGGCGCGGGCAGCTCGCGGTCCTTCAGGAGCATCAGCGTCAATGGACCGCATAGATCGGCTGAAATGGTGTTTGATTAGCATAATATCACTATTTATGCTGCCCAGCTGCTGCATGTCGGCCCCGCTATGGGCTATGGCGCCGGCGCCAATGGCCAGCAGCAGCGAACCTCAGCAGGGGCGCGACCGCGCCAGCACGGGAGCCGTAAACGCAAGCGCCCGCCAAGGTGATGACAACAGCTGCAATTGAAGCGCATGACAGCTATGACTGAGCCGCCATGGCAGTTCCCCGCCGGCAGCTCCCGCCCAAAAAACCACCGAAGCTGTCCCCCACCTGCCCCCCGCCTGCCCGCGCCCTCCCTAGTCATCACCATCCCCCTGCCCCGCGGCAGCCGCCCCGAGGGCATCGCACGCGCCTCAGACTCCGAAATCTTCGTGGCCTGCCTCTCCGGCGCCATATTGCACGTCGACCTGCACACTAAGCGCGTCACCCGCGTGCTGGAGGAGCGTGGTGCTGCACTCAGCGGCGTCAAGTGGGACGGCGAGCAGGGCGCCCTGTTTGCAGCGGCGACGCTCTCTGGGAAGGCGTATGTGTACTTCCTAGAGCGAACCGGCGCAGCCGAGGGCGGCGGCGGCGGCGGCGGTGGCCGGAGCGCAGGGGTTGGTGCTGAGGGCGCTCCGGTTCAGCAGGAGGGAGGGCAGAGGAGGGGGCAGGAGGGCAGCAGCGAGCGAAAGGAGGGGGCCGAGAAGGCGCCGGCAGGCGCCGACGAGGCTCGGCAAGGGGGGACACCCGGGACGCAGCTGCTCGGGAGCTCCATTCAGCAGCCCAGCTTCAAGGACCCCGTTCCCGCAGCCGCAAGCGCCGCCCCTGGCGCGCCTTGGCGCGTGAAGCGGCGCGTCGCGGTGCAGCTGGCGCGGGTGCCGCCTTGGTACATCAACGACGTCGCGCTCACACGCGACGCGGCCCTCTTCACAGACAGCGTTGCGTCTCGCCTGTTCTCCCTGCCGCGCTTCTTCGGGCCGGACGAGCAGCCCGTCGCGACTGCGTACGCGCTCGGGCCGCGGTTTGCCGTGCTGCCCGGCCAATTCAAGTCGAACGGTCTGGCGGTGCTGCCGCCAGAGACGGCCAGCGGCAAGACAAACGCCAGCAGCAGCGACGGCAGCGGCGGCGGTGAGGCGGAGGTGCTGGTGGCAAACCTGCACGAGGGGGATTTTTACCAAGTGGCGCTGCCGAGCCTCGCCGCCGCGCCCCGCGCCCGCGGCGCGCTGTTCGGGCCGGCGGCGGCGGGCGCGGCCGTGTCGCGCGTCGAGACGCCGGCTGTCGAGAGGAAGCGGCTGTTCCTCGACGGGCTGTGGCTGGAGGGGAGCTCGACTTTGTATGCGGCCGACAATTTCCACAATAGGGTGGTGCGCTTCGAGCTCGTACGGAACCAGGACGGCGGTGGGTACAAGGCCGAGCCGACCTGCGTCATCGCGCCGCAGGATTACCGCACGCCGACGACGCTGACGATGACAAACGGGGACGGCGGCGGCCGCGTGCTGTGGGCGGTCAACGCGCACCTGACGACGTGCCTGCCGTTTGTGCCCTGCCCGAGCCACAAGTTTGAGCTCATCGGGGTGCGCCCCCAGGACTTCTGCAGCTGATGATGAGTGCCACCGGCCTGGCCGTTTGTTGCTGCCATGCAGTCATTGGTAGCAACGGGCGGGTGGCATTGGCGGGCCGTCCCCCGTCTTGAGGCGATTGCGCATGGCTGTAAGCCGCGGTCTCACTTGTACGTTACCCTCGATAGCTGTTTGACATCCAATCCTGGGGTCAAGGCTACTACGTCTGAGTCAGCCGAAATAATGGCAGCAACAGTAGGTAGATTATGAAATAAGCAATTTGGTGGAACTGATCGACCACAGACAACGCACGCCGGCGTGCGTGTGCGTTCGACCGCTGGCGCACGTTGCCTGAGGAGCAGGCCGCGCCCGTGCACGCATGCTGCGAGGCGTGCGCACGCGTGTGTGAAGTGCACACAGGCGCTTGTCGCCAGCAGCCAAGTAACAAGGTGCAAACATATCACTGATTCGTGCAGCGCCTTGCCCAAGGCGGGCGACCAACACGTGTGTGCGGAAGTAACGAGGTGCTGCATTGCTGCGCATCCACCCAAACACAAGGAAGTCGCATGAGGCGGCCCCAGATGAATCAAAGGGCAAGGCATCAAAAGAAGGTCTCAAGCCAAATCTGGCCTCACAGCAGGCATAACAAGTCCCAACGCCATTGAGGGATCAAAGTCAGTGGGTCACTAAGCCACACTCAGGCGCCTGGGCCCCGCTCAAGGCAATACCGGTGCGTGGCAATTGCGCGCCCAACTTGCTCTATTAGAGCGCAGGCTGCCCAAAGAATCTCTCGCATGCGTACTGCGTATCCTTGCTGCAGCTGTCAAGGTAGTGTAGTGCTCTCAAGCCCCAACGCCGGCTCACCCAAAAAGCAGCTCCGACGCTTATCGCGCAGCCAGCACAAGCTCGGCCCCACGCTGCTACCCAACCACCGTCCCACCTGGCCGGTTCAGCGCGGCAGCCCGCTCTCCGCCTCCCCCGCAG